CCCCAAAACCCCAAAACCCCAAAACCCCAAAACCCCTTAAATTTTATAAATATTGAATAAGAAAACATTCAGTTATGGAAGATTACCAATGCAAAGCACCAGATGTCAGAATAAAACCTGCTAGTAGGAGAAAGAGCAGACTTCAACCTATCAGGCCAGATGTCCTTCGAAGGACATCAACTGGCTTTGGTGGCGGAGATCAAACAAAGGCGTTACAAATGCTTATGGAAGAAAACGATCAACTTAAGAAAGAGCTTGAAGAAGCTCGTAAAGAAATATTCAAGCTTCGAGAAGAAAATATCTCACTTAAAAAGGATTCTCGCGATGGTGCCCAGAAAGGTCGTTCAACCTTCCTTACATCTTCTAATCCTGAAAGCACTGGTAAGATCTCCGAGAATAGCAAAGTCAGTAATGATGAGAAAGTCTGCAATAATTGTGGCAACAGCATTGCAATTAATAACTACAGCTTGCATGTAATCTACTGTGAAAAGAACCTAACAGAATGCTCGTATTGAAAAATAAAATTTAACAAATCTGACCTTGACAGCCATATCGAGGAAGAAAGAGGAGAATACCTAGATTTGTTAGAAGCAGTGAGGAAAGGCAAAAATTCAGATATACAAACTATGTATACTCATGGCAACGACATATTCGCAGTTGATCCAAGTGACAGCAGCGGCGAAACTCTTTTACATGTTGCTGTAAAGCACGGGAAGAAAGAAACAGTTGAGCTTCTACTTAAATTAGGAATTAACATTAATTGTCAAAATAGCAATGGCGAAGTCCCTCTCCATCACGCAGTTTCTATAAAGGATGAAAATTGTGCCTTAGAGACGGTTGAATTCATGCTCTTAAAAGGAGCAAATCCAAAACAGAAAGACAAACTTGGTGATACTCCTATTGAAAAGTGTAAGAGACTTGGCAAGAGTAATCTTCTCATGCTATTCCTGAATACATCAGATGAGCGAATCCAAACACCTTCTATGAATCTGAGGTTTTAATGAAAATGTTAAACTTTATAAAATATAATCTCTTTCCAATTAAAAGCAAGATGATAGGGGTTTTGGGGTTTTGGGGTTTTGGGGTTTTGGGG